CGCATGCGGCCCCCCCTATTGCTTCTCCCTCGAGGAGCTTCGAGGCGTGAGAGGTTCGCGCGTCCTCGTCGGTGCTGAGCGGCCCTCCGCCCCTCGGGGGTGCCTTCTCTCCGGCGGCGGCGCCCCGCCGAGGGCGCTCCGGGGGGGGGCCCAGACCGCCACAGACGGCCGTTGGAGGCCCATGCAGGTCTCTGTTGAAGTCGGGCCTGTCCCTCTACAGGAGGGGTATTCAGAAATAGGCTTCAGTCGGATCTACAGGGGGGGGAATTCAAGAACAGTAAAAAAGTAGCCTGGGGACGATTTGTTTGACCATTTTTGAACAGTTTGGTTTTTTTTTGTATTTTTATTTGTCGTCCAAAATCCGACCTAGAAATAAACAAAAGTAGTCTGGGGACTTGCCCGGCCTGTCCCCCTGCAGGGAGACAGGCCCGGCCCAAGCTTGTGCCCCGAAAGCCCAACCCAGACCCTGTCGAATCGTGAACAGTCCTCCCACGGAGTGTTTCTGGCCATGTTCGGCTTCCGGGGGGCCTTCGCCGGGCCCCGGGACTGGCAGAGCCCGGCTCGGGAGGAGGAGCCGCCGCTGAGCAAAAGGGGGCCAGGACTTCCGGGAGCCGCGCAGCAAAACGACATCTCACCACCCGCCAAACCACCCCAACCCAACCCGAAGGCTTCAATTTGCCCTCCATTTCCAGAGAGGGGGGTCGGGGAACATTGAAAAAACACACGGAACCCGTACCCCCCCCACCCAACCCGAAATTCGGGTCAATTTCGGGTCTTCGGGTTGGGTTGGGGTGGTCTGGCAGGTAGTCAACATCAAAAGCCTCCCGTGTCTGGGCTCGTGCCGGCCGCGGCGGCGACCCCGGCGCGGGCGTGCACGGCTGCACGAGGAGGAGGAGGAGGAGGAGGAGGAGGAGGAGGAGGACGTGGAAGGGAGAGGAGGAGGAGGAGGAGGAGGAGGAGGAGGAGGAGGAGAGGAGGAGGAGGAGGAGAGAGGAGGAGGAGGAGGAGGAGGAGGAGGAGGAGGAGGAGGAGGAGGAGAGGAGGAGGAGGAGGAGGAGGAGGAGGAAGGAGGAGGAGGAGGATGAGGAGGAGGAGGAGGAAGGAGGAGTGAGGAGGAGGAGGAGGAGGAGAGGAGAAGGGGGAGGAGGAGGAGGAGGAGAGAGGAGGAGGAGGAGGAGGAGGAGGAGGAGGAGGAGGAGGAGGAAGAGGAGGAGGAGAGAGAAGGGGGAGGAGGAGGGGAGGAGGAGGAGGAGAAGGGAGGAGGAGGAGGAGGAGGAGAGGAGGAGGAGGAGGAGGAGGGAGGAGGAGGAGGAGGAGGAGGAGGAAGGGGGAGGAGGGCGGATGAGGAGCGAGGAGGAGGAGGAGGAAGGAGGAGGAGGAGGGGAGTAGGTAGGAGGAGGAGAAGGGGGAGGAGGGTGGGGGGGTGGCCCAGCATGATGCAGCGACGCGTCGATCGGCAGGCCGCTGGCGGCCCCCCGTGGACCCCCCGCGCGGTGTCGGAGGCCGGCGCCGAGGTCGCGCCAGCGCGAGCTTGCCCTGATTGCGAAGGCCTTACGGCCGTTGCCGCCGACCCTGAAGATGACGAAAGACAACACGAGGGGGTGGGCAGGAGGAGGAGGAGGAGGAGGAGGAGGAGGCGGAAGGGAGTAGGAGGAGGAAGGGTGAAGGGGGAGGAGGAGGAGGCCTTATGGATGTTGGTTGGGATCTCGTGGTTGACCTCTCGGGGGCGTCTGCAAGGCAACTTGAAGCCTCTTGGGGGCCGTTGTGGGGCCTCTTGGGGCCTCTTTTGGGCCTCTTGGGGCTTCCGGAGGCCGTCTTCGGCGCATCTTGGGGGCGTCTTGGCGCCGCTCGGGGGCCTCTTGGGGCCTTTTGGGGGCCTCTTGGGGCTTCCCGGGGGCCTCTTAGGGCGGAAGTCTCGAATTCTCGGTTCCTCGTCCCCCTCTTGGCCGTTTCTTGGGCCCGTCTTGGGGCCCTATTGGGCCGTCTTGGGCGCCTCTTAGGCTGTCCTGGGGCCTTCTTGGGCCGTCTTGGGGCCCTCTTGTAGGCCTCTTGGGGCGCTCTTGGGGGCCTCTTGGGGGCCTCTTGGGCCGTCTTGGAGTGTCGGAAAGCCGAAAAGGCGAGAAGGCCAAAATCATTCAAAAACCGATGTAAAATTTACGATTTTGGCGCCTGGGGCCCTCTTGGGTGTGCTCTTGGGGCTCTCTTGGAGCGTCTTGAGGGCCTCTTGGGCCGTCTTCGGGCCGTCTTGGGCGTCTTGGGGCCATCGTTCGTCGAGTCGAGGCCCTCTTGTACCCTTTTGGGGGTGTCTTCTGTCGCTCTTGGCTCGTCTTGAAGCTTTTCTGAGCTCCGGGACCCCCCGGGGAGGATGCGTATCTGGGTGGCGACCCCCCCGGCGACCCCCCCCCCCCCCCCCCCCCCCCGGCGGGGAGGGTAGGGAGGGGCTTCGCCACGACTCAACTACGACGTTGCTCAATGTCGCTTTGGCTCGCGCGCTCAAGGAGACGGGGAACGACGAAGACGACGAGGGACAACGGAGACGGAGACGACGAGGACACGACGGAGACGACGACGACGACGACGACGACGACGACGACGACGGTGATCCACGCAAGACGACGACACCGGGATGCGTCTTCCACACGCCGACAGGGTCGGCGGATTTCGGGAGGGAGAAACACACAGGGACAATGAGGAGGAGGAGGAGGAGGAGGAGGAGGAGGAGGAGGAGGAGGAGGAGGAGGATAGGAGGAGGAGGGGAGGAGGAGGAGGAGGAGGAGGAGGAGGAAGGAGGGAAAAAAGGAGAGGAGGAGGAGGAGGAGGAGGAGGAGGGAGGAGGAGGAGGAGGAGGAGGAGGAGGAGGAGGAGGCAGGAGGAGGAGGAGGAAGGAGGAGGAGGAGGAGGGGGGGGGGCGGCCCCCCCGTGAACACCCGCGGTGTCGGCGCCGAGTCGAGGTGCTCCAGCGAGAGTTTGCCCTGATTTCTGGGGGGGGGGGGGGAAACACACACACAGACACAAAGAATCGTCGGTTCCCCAGAAGATATGGGAAAGTATGGGAAGTGGGGGGGGATAGAATTCCAGGACATATGGGAACACACGGGGGATCGTTTTCTTTGTGTGTATGTATGTGTGTGTCCCAGGGCCCCTTCATGATTGCTTGTCGGAGGTGGATAGACCTCCTACCCTGACGCGTCGATGAAGGAGTTGGCCATCTTCGGTTCGCGAGAGGGCGTCGCGGCCGCCATCTTTGCGGGTCCAGGCCCGTCGGCTTCGGTCCTATAGGCCGTTTTCACCAAGGAGAGGTTTGCGAAGGGGAGGTGTGTCCACCGCCGAGCTCAGGTTGGGGCCCGTCGATCGCGCCGCGCCGCCGATGTGCGGACGGCCGCAGTGGCGCGAGATCCTCCGACCCCATCTCTCTTCGGGCGGCCTGCAGGTGGGGGAGTATGCCGAGTGGGCCGGTGCCCGTCCGCCGGCCCCCCATCTCGGCCCCAGAGGACTGGGATAGGTGGATATCAGGAGAGAAAAAAAAAAAACAGACACAATTAATCGTCGATCCCCCAGAAAAAATATGGGGAAATATGGGACTTGGGCGGGAAGACAAAAACCCAGAGAATATGGGAAAATATGGGGAACCTTTTTATTTGTGTGTATCTGTTTTTGTGTGTCCCAGGGCCCCTTCAGGATAGGCCTCCAACCCTGACGCGTCGATCAGCGAACTGGCCAGAGGGCGTCGCGGCCGTCATCTTCGTGGGTCCAGGTCCGTCGGTTTCGGTCCTGTATGGGCCGTTCTCATTGAGGGGTGGTTTGCGAAAGGGAGATGTTGTCCACCGCGGAAGGATCGGCGACTACAGAGGGTATGGTTACGCCGGGGTGTGGTTTGCGATCGGCACCGTGGGGGCCTGGGGAGCACGACGCCGTCCTCGTCGCGACCTCCTCGGGGCGCGGCTGAGAGCTCTGTCTTGAGGTCCTCGCCCGCGCCGCAGGGTGCCCCCCCGGGGTGCCGGTTGCAAACCGCACCCTTGCCACACCACACCTTTCGGAGTCGCCGGCACGGCGTTCCGGAACGCTCTGAGAAGGCCCCGGCGCCCGATGCGTTCCTCTTCCTCCTCGTCCTTCTCCTCCTCCTCCTCTTACTCCTCCTCCTCCTCCTCCTCCTCCTCCTCCTCCTCCTCCTCCTCCTCCTCTTCCTCCCCCAGAGCCGCCGGATCGCAGAGATTGCCGAGATGTTCGAACATTGTGTATGATCATGCCGAGTTTGGTTCCTCAGTTGTTGTTGTTGGAAGCCTTTGGTAGCCTCTATGAAGCCACCCACGGGCATTGGCATTGTAAGGAGCAGCCTGGAAGCTTCGCGCCGCGCGCACTAGCTGTATCATCTAGTCTGCACCCCCGCCCATGAAGAGATGGGACACCGTTCGCGTGGCGATTTTCTGATGGAAGTCCGACGCAATTGCGACGTGAGTTCCACATGTTTCCGACGTACATCCGACGTGGATGCGAGGTACATTGGATCTCAAGTTGCCGCGCGAGGCCTTCAGGATTCCTCTCGTGCATTCTCCTGCAGGCCTGGGCCTGGGCATGGGCATGTGCATGGGTGTGTGTGTGTGTGTGTGTGTGTGTGTGTGTGTGTGTGTGCGTTTTGCACGTGCGCGGGCGCAGCTGTGTGGGCATTGGAGCTACCCTCGAGGGCAGCGGCAGGAGGCGCGGACGCGGTGTTGGCTGTGCGTCCTGATGCTTCGTTCGGAGCATGCGTCGGTAGCAAATCACGGGCCAATTTTCACCGTCGCAACTCGGTCTTTTGAATGCGTTAGCGTCACGTGGCGTCTGGGTAATCGATGAGATATCGCCGACTTAGCGTCGATTTAGCGTCGATGAGCGTCGATTCCGAAGAGGGCTCGATTATCATCGATTCGCTGCGATGTTGCATCGATTAGCGTCGGTTTAGCGTCGAGTAGCGTCGATCAGCGTCGATGAGCGTCGATTCGCGTCGATGACTGTCGATTTGGCGCCGAGTTAGCGTCGACGAGCGTCGATTCGCGTCGACTCGCAGGAGCCTGGTCTGGGAGGCGCCCGCGAGCTGCCACCGAGGCGCGCTGGCAGCCCCAGGCTGCCCCCCTTGGAGGGGGGCGCGCGGACCTGGGCCTCAGAGAGGAGGACCTGAAGAACGAGGCGGGCGGAAGCCATGGAGCGGGAGAGGAGAGCCGGGAGGAGGAGGAGGAGGAGGAGGAGGAGAAGGAGGAGGACCCCTTCGAATCCTCCAGAACGCCGATGGGCGCCTTCTTGTGCAGTCGTGGCCCAGCAGCTGTCACCATGATGCTCTCCGCGCGACAGGTGTGTCGCCGTACATGTGGCGCCAGCTGGTGCGTGGTGCGTGCACGCGTTCTGCAGAGCAGCCGCGGCGCCGAGGACCCCCCCAATAACCCAGGAAAAGAGGAGGCGAGCGAGGCGAACGCAAGATGTCGGTTTAGCGGGACCGGCCCTCAGAAGGCAGCGCGCGGGGGCCAGAGCCCTCAGGAGACGCGTTGGGGGCAGGAGACGGACATGGGAGCCGGAGTCGGAGAGATGGAAACCAGAGTCGGAGAGATGGGATTTGCAGAGAGTCGGAAAGATGGAACCGGAGTCGGAGAGACGGTTTCGGGAGTCGGAGAGATGGGAGCCAGAGTCGGAGAGGCGGGAGCTGGAGTCAGAGAGATGGGAGCTGGTGTCGGGGAGGTGGGAGCTAGAGTCGGAGGAGGAGGAGGAGGAGGAGGAAAGAAGGAGGAGGAGGAGGAGGAGGAGGGGAAGGGGGAGGAGCAGGAGAAGAAGGAGGAGGAGAAGGAGGAGAGGAGGAGGAGGAGGAGGAGGGGGGGGACGAGGCGGAGGAGGAGGAGAGGAGGGGAAAGAGGGAGGAGGAGGAGAAGGAGGGAGGAGGAGGAGGAGGAGAGGAGGAGGAGGGAAGGAGGAGGAGGAGATGGAGGAGAGGAGGAGGAGGAAGGGAGGGGAGGAGAGGAGCAGGAGGAGGAGGAGAGGAGGAGGAAGGGTAAGGAGGAGAGGAGGAGGAGGGGGAGGAGGAGGAGAGGGAGGAGGAGGAGGAGGAGGAGGAGGAGGAGGAGAGGAGGAGGAGGAGGAGGATGGGGAGGGGGAGGAGGAGGAGAGGAGGAGGAGGGAAGGATGAGGAGGAGGAGGAGGAGGAGGAGGAGGAGACCCCGTCGTCGGTGAGCTGTGTTGCCGCCCGCTTCCTGACCCCCGCAGGCCCCTTGAGCCGTCCAGGGGCCTCCGCGGCGGCCTCCAGAGGCCGACAGACGAGTCAAGAGCACGCGGCAGCCTCTCCCGTCGACCCTTTCGGGTCGAGGGTCAAACTTGGCATTGCTCCTTCTCCTTCCTCCTCCTCCTCCTCCCTCCTCCTCCTCCTCCTCGTCCTCCCTCCCTCCCTCCCTCCCTCCCTCCCTCCCTCCCTCCCTCCCTCCCTCCTCCCTCCTCCCTCCTCCCTCCTCCTCCTCCTCTTCGATGCTCGGTGCCACGGGTCGGTCTGGTGCTCCTCCCTCCTCCCTCCTCCCTCCTGCTCCCTCGTTGTCCTCCTCCTCTTCGATGCTCGGTGCCACGGGTCGGTCCGGCGCTCCTCCCCATGCTCGCTTCGACCAGGTCAAGAGGCCTCGGGAGAAGCGGCCAGGCGGCCTTCCAAGAAACGCGACGAGGAGGGGCCATCGGATCCCGACGGGGAGGTGTTGTTAAGGGCTGCCTGTTCCGCTACAGTTAGGTCGGGCCTGTCCCCCTACAGGGGGATTTTTGGGCGAAAACCTAAAAACACTTAAAAACATACTCCCCACATGCTCCGAATTCCGAAAAATGTCAGAACATCATCCCCATACTAGTTCCCTACCTAGGCTCTGCCTAAAAGGGTTCTTACTCTCTGGACTTAAAGGGGCCGGGCAGTGTAAATCGCCCCGGGCGGTTCCCCCAGTATCCGCCCCGCGGTTCCCCCAGTTACGCCCCCTGGGTTCACCAAGCTTAGCTTTAGCTTAGCTTTAGCTTAGCTTTAGCTTAGATGTAGCTTAGCTTTGTCTTAGCTTTAGCTTAGCTTTAGCTTTAGCTTAGCTTTAGCTTAGCTTTAGTAATTAGCTTAGCTTTTTAGCTTTAGCTTAGCTTTAGCTTCGCTTTACATTAGCTTTAGCTTAGCTTCAGCTTAGCTTTAGCTTAGCTGTAGCTTAGCTGTGTCTTAGCTTCAGCTTAGCTTTAGCTTAGCTTCAGCTTAGCTCTAGCTTAGCTTTCCTCCTGTAGAGGGACAGGCCCGACTCAACACTGCAGGATAACTATTCAAAAACAGTCCGACAATAGTCCAGGGACGAGTTTCCGATTCGGTTGATTTTGTTCTGAAGTATTATGTGTATTTTGTGCCCCAAATCCGCCTCCAGGGAGACCTGCCAGACCGAAAGATATTGCCAGACTCAGGAGGGGAAAAATAACAGGCACAATTAATCGTCGACCCCCAGGGAAGTATAGGAAAATATAGGAAGTGGGGGGGAAGACGAACACCACGAAAATATAGGAAAATGTTGGAAGTCCTGTTGTTTGTGTCCATTTGTTGCTAAGGCCTTACGGTCGGTGCCGCCGACCCTAGAGGCCTCGTCCCTCGACGGAAATGTGGGGGAGAGGGCGGGCCATGGGCCCATGGAGGGTGGCATTCTGACTTGACCCTCCCTGGGGACCCCCTTCCGGGACCCCCCCCCCCTTCGTAAACACCGAAGTTGCTCAGATTGGCTTGCCCTCCGCGTCGCGGCCGCTCCCGTCTCCCGAAGGGAGCCGCCTGGGTGCCCCGCCCTCCGGGTATCCGGGTGGAACCCCCACCCCACCCCCCCACCCCCCTCGGGGGGAAGGGATACATGGGAAGAGGTTTCCCTTCGAGTAAGCTACGACGTTGCTCAGATTGGCTTACCCCCTGTGTCGCGGCCACTCCCCTCCGCGTCGCGGCCGCTCCCCTCCCCCGAAGGGAGCCGCCCGGGTGCCCCCCCCCTCCGCCCGGGTATCCAGGTGGGACGCCCCCCCCACCCCCCCACCCCCCTTCGGGGGGAAGGGATAAAAGGGAAGGGGCTTCCTTTCGAGTAAGCTACGACGTTGCTCAGATTGGCTTACCCCCTGTGTCGCGGCCACTCCCCTCCGCGTCGCGGCCGCTTCCCTCCCCCGAAGGGAGCCGCCCGGGTGCCCCCCCCCTCCGCCCGGGTATCCAGGTGGGACGCCCCCCCAACCCCCCCACCCCCCTTCGGGGGGAAGGGATAAATGGGAAGGGGCTTCCCTTCGAGTAAGCTACGACGTTGCTCAGATTGGCTTCCCCCGCTCCCCTCCGCGTCGCGGCCGCTCCCCTCCCCCGACGGGAGCCGCCCGGGTGCCCCCCCCCCCCGGGCATCGGGTGTGACCCCCCCCCCTCCCCCCCCCCCCCCCCCTCTCTCGGGGAGAAGGGATAACAGGGAAGGGGCTTCCCTTCGAGTAAGCTACGACGCTGCTCAGATTGGCTTCCTCCCCGTGTCCGGGGGGGATCAGATTGGCTTCCCCCCCGGGTCGCGGCCGCCCCTCTCGCCCTGGGAGAGTCGACCACTCCCCCTCTTGGAGCCGACTTGGTGGTGTCGTGGGCAGCCCCCCTCCCCCGAAGGGAGCCGACCACCCCTCTTGGAGCCGACGTGACGACCTCGTGGGAGACGACGGCCCACGCAAGATGACGGGACCATGATACGTCTTCCACACACCGACAGGGTCGGCGGATTTGTGTGTCCTTGGACAGACTTGGTCGACCGTCAGGAAAATATGGGAAACTACCGGAAGTGGGGGGGAAGACGAAAACCTTCGAACATATTAGAAAAGATGGGGAACCGTATAACTTGTGTCTATTTATTCGTGTGTCCCTGGGCTCCTTCAAAGACGCCCTCCCCACTGCAGGTCGCTCCACAGCAGCGTCTCCCCCCCTTCGTCCTCCGTCGCGCCCCTCCTGGCGCGAGCGGCCGCGAGTGTCCCCCTCTTGGGCACGCAGGCGGGCTTTGACGTAGGCATCAAGCTGGACCCGGAGCAGGCGGGCGGACCCCCCCTTCCCAGAAAGAGAAGATCTCCACACCCGTGTGTATACACAGATGTCTGTATGTATGTGTGTCTATACATATATGTAGATGTATACGTGTGTATGTGCAGATCTGTACACCTAATACCGCACATGGGTTGGTAATGATCCCTCTCGTAGGGCGAAGGGATCTATTTATCTATCTATATATATATATACAAATCTGTATGTTTAACTATTACATTTTTTACATATATATGTGCACATATGCTTACATGTAAAGATATATATTTATATATGTATATATATGTATATCTTTATATATATATATATATATATAGATGACCGCTGCCCCGTCCTGGCTTGGCCAGGGATGCATCTACGCCGCTCCTGGGCCCAGCCTGGGCCAGGCGGGCCTCGGGCAGTGGATGTGGATAGACGCCACTCCTGTATCTCGGAGGCGTGATGTACTTCATATTGGGCCATCTCGGGCTAGATTGTGCGATGCTGGAAGATCCCTAGAAAAAAACGGAGAATCCTGGGATTTGTGTGTATTGTTGTGTGTGTGTGTGTGCGTGTGTGTGTGTGCGTGTGTCCCTGGGCACATTCAATATGTCTGACGATGACTCTATGGACAGCAATTCGCAGCAGGAGCCTTGCACCATCAGGTCGTCGGCCGGCACGGAAAACGACCACGCACATGCATTTTGATGTTTGATGGATGTGCGAGCGGACGCAATCAGCTTGCTTCTCGAGGAGCTCGATCCCGGCGCCATAAGCAGGACAGGTGGTCGGGCAGGCTCAGTCCCTGAAGGATCCTGTGGCGAATCCCCGGCAGCAAGAGGGGGCTTCGAAGGCTTGTGCTTCCGCGTTTTCCGATCTCCTCCGCGCTGCGCCACACCATGCCGCAGGAGAAGTTGGAGGAGAAGTTCGGCAGCATTGACGAACGCAGGTCCAGTCTGAAGGGGGAATCCACCCAGGGAGATATCGACGGTCTTTCAGGGCCTGCTTCTGGAATCTGAGAGTGTTGAATCTACCGAGGACGGGAGCATCGACGTGGATGAGTCCAAGGCTCACAATCCATAGCACCTGCCGCATTACGTCACGCTGCCGGCGAATGTGACGAACGGTTCGCCACTGCCATCACGGTTGCAAGCGATTATGTGTTCGGCATCGACGCGCATAGGGTCGTGGTGTTCAATGTTTACGAGATGTTTGTTGGCACAGTCTCGTGCATGCGTCGATTCGGTTGTGAAGATCAGGAGGCTGCGGTATTGGCGTCCAGCTTTGCCAGCACCTGCGATGTGGAAACACCCCGACTGATGCCCAGAGCCGTTGTGAGGTCGTCATCGCCGGCGCTCTGAGCGCAATTGCAGCATCCCTCCAGAGGAGGAGGAGGAGGAGGAGTAGGAGGAGGAGGAGGAGGAGGAGGAGGAGGAGGAGGAGGAGGATAAGGAGGACGGAATGGAATGACATGGACACCACGGCGTAAGGCGAGTGCGCAAAAGCACGACGGACAGCACGCCTACATCAGAGGGCTCGACCGTCTCGCCCTGATTTCGGTTTGGCCGAGGAGTTTCGGCTGACTACCAGCCGCAATCTGATACTCCAGATTTCGTAATAAAGGGAGGGGGGTCTCATTTCGGGGGGGGGTCTCTTCCAAGCTATCTTGGAGGGCCTGGGGGGGTCTGGGGACGATGTTTTGGAGGGTTCTCCCACGGGGGAGGTCTGAAATGGCTTGCCTTGGAGGGTCCAGACCCCCTCCCTTTCATTACGAAGTCTGGAGTACAGATGTTCCTCACGCGCTTTGGTAAGCTTCGGGGCCCCAGGACAAACACTACCGAGGGAACGCAATTGCTTTTCAGCAGCGGCCTCGCCCAGGCTGCAACACCATCCCCCCCAAGGACACATGGTGGTTCAGGGTGCGAGCCGAATGGACCCGGCCCCCCTTTACACGTACCCTGGACCCCACTTTCTGGGAAAGCAGCACCGCCCCATCTGCCTCATGAGGTCAGGAGCGCTCCGTGCCCCGCCGCACGTGTGTAAAGGCGGCGGCGGCCGTCGCAGAACACGGCGTAAACCTTCCTGCCTGCAGTCGGACCACGGGTGGATGGAGGGGAGGGGCGGGGCGGCAGCAGCAGCAGGCGGGAGGGGGGGGGGCGCGGCGAGAGGCGTCCGAGGCCCCTTAGTTCCCTCGACCTCGGCCTCCGTCGTCGCCTTCACGCGGTCAAGACTCGCCCACCGCGGCCTGCGGCGCACCACGTGCGCGCGTCGTCCGCGCAACGGAACGCGGGCTCTACGGGGGGCCTGGTGACCCCGAGCCAGCTCTGCTGCAGCTGCTGCCAGGGCGTCGGCCGCAGCGTTGCCCACCACTAGTGTTAGGTCGGGCGCGTCCCCCTACAGGGGGATCTTGGACGAAAAGTAAGACTTATTCCGGCGAACGGCCCAACCATATGTAGTTGTGAGTAACGCGTTGTGTGTGCCGCGTCCGGTGGGCCACGCAACGCGTGGCGGGGCGTGCCGTAATGGGTGGGGGGGAAGCTTGCGGGCATCCCCCACTGTGGCCTTCGGTGGAGCTCCCTTCGACGCGCTGTAGTGGGCTGTGGAGACGCGTGCGGGCGGTGCCACTGGGGCCTTCGGTGGAGCCCCCATATGGGGGCACGAAGCGCTGTACTGGGTGGGGCGGACGCATACGGGCGGTTTCACTGGGACCTTCGCTGGAGCTCCCTATGGGGCCACGAAACGCTGTACTGGATATAGCAGACGCATGTGGGCGGTCCACCTTGGGCCTTCGGTGGAGCCCCCCATCATGGGGCCACCCCACTGGGTCCCTCGGTGGAGCATGTGACCATGCCCACTGGGTCCCTCGGTGGAGCCCTCCATGAGGCCACGAAACGCTATACTGGTTGTGGCGGGCGCGTGCGGGCGGTTCCACTGGGACCTTCGGTGGAGCTCCCGATGGGGCCACGAAACGCTGTACTGGGTGTGGCGGACTCATGCGGACACCCCCACTGGGGCCTTCGGTGGAGCTTTCTATGGGGCCACGAAACGCTGTACTGGGTGTGGCGGACGCATGCGGGCGCACCTACTGGGGCCTTCGGTGGAGCTCTCTATGGGACCACGGCCAGGAAACGCTGTACTGGGTGGGGCGGACGCATGTGACCATGCCCACTGGGTCCCTCGGTGGAGCCCTCCATGAGGCCACGAAACGCTGTACTGGTTTTGGCGGGCGCGTGCGGGCGGTCCCACTGGGACCTTTGGTGGAGCTCCCGATGGGGCCACGAAACGCTGTACTGGGTGTGGCGGACGCATGCGGGCACCCCCATTGGGGCCTTCGGTGGAGCTCCCGATGGGGCCACGAAACGCTGTGCTGGTTTTGGCGGACGCATGTGGCCTCCCCCACTGGGGCCTTTGGTGGAGCTTCCGATGGGGCCACGAAACGCTTTCCTGGGTGTGGCGGACGCATGCGGGCACCCCCACTGGGGCCTGCGGTGGAGCTCCCGATGGGGCCACGAAACACTGTACTGAGCGTGGCTGACGCATGTGGCCCCCACTGGGGCATTGAGTGGAGCTCCCGATGGGGCCACGCAACGCTTTACTGGGTGTGGCGGACGCATGCGGGCACCCCCACTGGGGCCTTCGGTGGAGCTTTCTATGGGGCCACGAAACGCTGTACTGGGTGTGGCGGACGCATGTGGCCACCCCCACTGGGGCCTTCGGTGAAGCTCCCGATGGGGCCACGGATCGCTGTGCTGGGTGTGGCGGACGCATGTGGCCACCTCTGTTCTTGCCTTGGGTGGGGCTCACGATGGGGCCACGACACGTTGAGTTCGGTGTGGCGGACGCATGCGGCCACCCCCATTGAGGCTTCGGTGGAGCTCCCGATGGGGCAACGGAACGCTTTACTGGGTGTGGCGGACGCATGCGGGCACCTCCGCTGGGGCCTTGGGTGGAGCTCCCTATGGGGCCACGAAGCGTTGTACTGTGTGTGGCGGACGCATGTTGCCACCCCGATTGGGGCCTTAGGCAGAGCTCCGATGGGGCCACGAAGCGCTGCACTGGGTATGGCGGACGCATGTGGCCACCCACATTGGAGCTTTGGGTTGGGCTCCCTATGGGGCCACGAAGCGCTGCAGTGGGTGTGGCTCCCTATGGAGCTCGAAGGTTCAGTTTGTGTTTGTTCAGCTCTTGCTCTTCTCCTAGAAGAGGAGCAGGAGGAGGAAGAGGAGAAGGAGAAGGAGGAGTGGAAGAAGAGTGCCTGGGAGGATCAGACAGAGTGGCGGAGAAGGAGGAGGAGGAGGAGGAGGAGGAGGAGGATTGTAATGACTCTTATAGCAGGCTTAGCGTTGGATGTTGCTGGGGGCAGGCCTGGCATGCCTCCTGGGTATGATCAGAGTGAGGGGGCCGAACGGTCATTCACTGTCCCTGGGTGCGTGGCTGAAGTGGGGATCCACGGCCAGAATTCTGTTTGTTGTTGCGTCGTCCCGCCCGCGACCCACCCGCGAGTCACCCCTGGACCAACCCGCGACCCACACCGCGACCCACCCGCGATCGAACCCGCGACCCGCCCGCGATCCACCCGCGATCCACCCGCGACCCACCCGCGACCCACCCGCGAACCACCCGCGACCCACCCTGCGACCAATTTACATTGCTTTAGCGAAAACTGGTGCCTGCCGCTGGCTCGTTGCGCACTTTGTAAAAATTAGGCGCCTGCGGCGGGCTTCTTCAGAGCCTCGCAGACTGCAGACGTCACTCTTATCCGCGGATGCGGTGTGCAAAGTTTTTTTGATCGACTCGCATAGACGAACAGCTATGTTGTTGACACTTCGCGAATCCCCACCAGCCGGCCGGCCTGCGGCGCGTTCAGTAGCTAATTAGGCCGTTACCGTGTCCCGGAACGCTTCTGATTCCGCCTGCGTTTTCGCTGGCGGACGCGACCAAAAAAGAATCCCCACCAGCCCATCCAGAAACGATGCCCAGAGGAATTGCCTCGATCAGGGAAGTGGGCAGCACACAGAGGAAGCCATTATGAGACATCTTGGGATATCTTGAGCCATCTTGGAGGATATTTTGGGCTCCCGCAGGCGCTCTTGGAGCCATCTTAATCAGTACCCCCTCAAGAGGCCAACATGTGGCTAAAGCCTTCGTAACATCAATGAGTTGGCATTCTCGCCGAGGCCTCTTGGAGCATCTTGGGTGCCTCTGGGGGGTCTCTTGGGGCCTCTTGGGGGTCTCTTGGGGGTTTCCGGGGGGCCTCCTGGGAGCCTCTCGGGGCCATCTGTGGGCCATCTTGGGACCTCTTGGGGCCTCCTGGGCGCTTCTTGGGGCCATCTTGGAGGAACTCAATCAAAGAAGCGGGGAGCTTCAATTAGGGTTGCCCCCCTCCCCCCCAGGAGGCCAAAATGGAGCCAACACAATAGTAAAATCAATGATTTGGCCCTCCTCGCCAATGCCGTTTTGGACGCGCTGACACCTCCCCGACCCCCCCCGTCCAGGTCCATGGGGAGGGGTAGGGGGAGGGGTCAAGACCCCCCCCGCCCGCAAGCCGTCTCGCTCACTCCCACCCGCCTTCCCAACACATACGTAGCACCCGAGTCTGGCCCGAGCCTCATCAGATTCAGCAGTCGTCTTTGGATGGGTAGCTACTGGGGGCCAATCCGCCGCCGCCACCGCCGCCTCCGCCGCCGCCGCCGCCGCCGCCGCTGCCGCCGCCGCCGCCGCCGCCGCCGCAGCCGCTGCCGCCGCCGCCGCCGCCGCCGCCGCAGCCGCCGCCACCGCCGCCGCAGCCGCCGCAGCCGCCGCCGCCGCCAAGGGTACTTTGTGTTGTTGTTGACAGGGATGGTGGGGGGGGGGGGGGGGCGCATCGGGTTGGCTGCGCATGTTCCGAATTTGGAGGCAGAGTGTGTTTTGTATTGCGTTTTACAATGGATTGTGGGGGGGTGTCGTCATGGACCTGGGTTGGCTCCCAGTCGCCTGGGGAGGGGGTGTTGATTAACAGGGAACAGTGATAAACCCCTCCCCGAAGGGGAAGAGGGTGGGGTGGAAGAGGAAACGCCTTAAACCACCGATGTCCCGCGGGCTGGTGGGATTAGCCACGAACGCAAGCAAAACGCAAAAAACTGGGAGAGGAGAAGGAGACGGACGACGAGTGAGGGAGGGAAAGGGGAAACGTGATCCTCTCTTCATCCGCTGCCTTATCGGCTCAGTCGTTGGCACTGTGGTTTTTCATGCGTCAGATAAGAAACCTTCCAAAATCTTCATCCGACGAATATCTAGCAAGTTAGTCTCTCTAGCGTTCCCCTCACTCACGCAGGTGGGGTGCCGTCGTCATCGTTGTAGTCGCCGTCTGGGAAGCGGCGCGCGCGTCGTCGTCATCGTCGCCATATTCATCGTGATCATCCCTCGTCGTCGTCGTCGGGCGTCGGGCGTCGGGCGCCGTTGTCGTCGTCGGCGCCGTCGTCGTCGTCGTCATAGTTGCCGCCGTCGTCGTCGTCGTCGCCGTCGTCAACATCGTCGTCGTCATAGTTGTCGTCGTCGCCGTTGTCGTCGTCATCGTCGTGGTCATCGTCGTCGTCGCCGTTGTCGTGGTCATCGTCGTCACGCGCCCAGCCCTGCCGCAGGCCGAGGCGCTGGGCATCGTCCCCTTCGGCGACGGGGGCGCGGACGACGCCGCGTCGCCGAGGCGCTCCGCCACGCCCCCCCTCCGCCTCCGCCTTCGCCTCCGCCAGGCCCGCTCGCTCGCGCCATTGGCATCACAGTGCCGCTGGTGCCGCCCCCCTTGCTTTCATCGGAGGGCTTTTGACTGGTAGTACAGGGTTCCCTGCGAAAAGGGCCGCACGTTCGCCTGTGGTGGAGGAAGGGGGGGAGGTAAGGGCTTGGGGTGAGGAGGACAGCGTGCACGCTTTTGCGCAGGCTTTGGCAGTTCCTCAGGTCAGGCGTCGAAAAGGCCGTCGAATCGTCGCTGTGAAACACTAGCGCAGGGGAGTTACGCATACGCTCTACAGTGCACCCTTGCGGGCGCATTGACGTTGACCCCTCATGCAAATGTCCTGTCTTGTCCTCCGCCTCCGCTGCCCCTCCCCTATTTTGTGCCTCCGTCCCCCCCCAGCACCAGCATCATTGTTTCCAGCCCCCTTTTGCCTGCGTACACGATGTTTGCTCGAGCTGACTCGACGGACACTGCCCCGCAGAGATCGGTTGATTGATCGGTATCCGAACGTGCACGGGGAAAACAATGGCGGCCCCGCCCGCCCAACCTTCAGATGGGCCCACAGGGTGGGTGCGCCACGGGGGCGGATCGTTCATTCGTTGTCTCACGCTTCCCGGCGCCGACGGCAACGGGTCATATCCAGGCGCGGCAGTATTTCTGTTTCGTTTGTCCTTCCTCCCTTTCCTTCTTCGAGTTCGCCAGAGTGGAGGCGAGGGAGGAGGTGGCAGGGGAGGGGAAGAACCCCCCTTCCTCCGTCCTTCCTGTGCACCGCCCCCTTCCGCCATCCCTTTCCCCCGTTCATATCCGTCATGCCGTGCCTTCCCATTTTCCCTCCCTCCCTCCCCCCCCCCGTCCCTTTCCGCCCCTGGGTTTTCCGAGGGTCGTGTTCCCAATTCGACCCTACGGGCGCGGTGCAGGGGTCACGCAAGGGGCGTCCCAGTTGATTCCAGCAGAAACCCCCCCCCCCCACCACCAATGATAGATTTAGCCGATGTTTTGCGGAATCCTGAACCTTGCAAAAACGCGCGGGATATACACCACACGTGATCGTTTCAAGCATGGTTGTTTGTTGTCTGTGTCTGTCTCTTTCCCTCTCTCTCTCCTCTCTCTCTTTTTCTCGCTTTCTCTCTCTCTCTCTCTCTCTCCTCCCCCCCCTCTCTCTCTTTCTCTCCTTTTTCTCAATATGTGTATCTCGCTTTGTTTCGTCTATAGATACACACAAATTTCCACACTTAGGAGAGGGATGAGGAGGAGGAAGAGGAAGAGAGGAGAAGGAGGAGGACCTCCCCATCCTCCCTTCTACCCCGTCCTGCATATGGTAGTGATGGTGGTAAATTTTCCCCCCCCCCCCCCCCCCCGCCCCCACACACACACACACACACACACACACACACACACACACACACACACACACACACACACACACACACACACACACACACACACACACACACACATCGGGCGGGCTGGTCGACTGGGAGCGGAGCCTGCGGTCGCCCCCTCCCCCCCCCCTCGCTCCGTGCTCATTGCTCTCCCCGCTGTTCCCTTCCAGGCGCTCCGCGCTCTCCCCCGCCTTCTCTCTCTCTCTCTCTCTCTTTCTCTTCCATGCCCATCCTCCTCCTCCTCCTCCCTCCACCTCGGCTGCTCCCAGCGCCTCTCTGAACTTCCTCTCTCTCTCTCTCTTTCTCGCTCTCGGTCTCTTCATTGGGTATTACGATATCCCTCTCTCGCTCTCTCTCTCTCTTGTTCTTTCCACCTCTATCACACCTCTTTGAGTATCTCTCCACTTGTTGCTTGTTATCTCTCTTGTGTTGTTGTTTGTTTCTCTTTCTCTCTCCCTTTTTCTTTCTCTCTCTCTCTCTCTCTCTCTCGAGTGCCAAATCCACCCAAGGCCCAACGTCGAGAGGCATGCGTCCCCAGATTCATCGCCCACCTTGCCTCGCAGCCACTTTTGGGCTCTGTTCGTCCGACGCCGGGCCCTCCTCATCCGTGCCCTGGGGCAGCGGCACCCGCCCGCGCCCACCCGCCGCATTGGCGGCCTGGCACGCTCCGGGAGGCAGAACATTTGGACGTCGAGTAAATTGTGGGTGCGATAAATGGGGGTGGAGATGGAAAGTTTCGCCGACGGGCTCAGTCGGCCCCTCCTCCTGCTCCTCCCCCTCCTCCTCCTCCTCCCTCCTCCCTCCTCGTCCTCCCCCTCGCCCTCCTCCTCCTCCTCCCTCCTCCTCCTCCTCCTCCTCCTCCTCCTCCTCCTCCTCCTCCTCCTCCTCCTCTCCTCCTCCTCCCCTCCTCCTCCTCCTCCTCCTCCTCCTCCTCCTCCTCCTCCTCCTCCTCCTCCTCCTCCTCCTCCTCCTCCTCCTCCTCCTCCTCCTCCTCCTCCTCCTCCTCCTCGGGTCGCCTATCGCCCTGGGGGAAATCCGTGCTGGTGGAGAAAGGTGCACCTTCTGATGCTTACAGAAGCCGTAAATGGCCCCTCCTGGGGCGCAGAAGGGGACACGAACGGTGCACGTTCCCCTCCCCCCCTCTATCGCCCCCCACATTGCACGCCGGTCGTTGGACGTAATTAGGTATCGAATGGCCTTTGGCCCATACCGTCACCGTGATTTGGTTGTGGGTGTGAAGCCTCGTGGATGTTCGTTGGGATCTCGTGGGAGGCTTCTCGGGGCCTCTGGGATGCAGTTTTGACGTTTCTTGGGGACCTCTCTTTGGGGTCTCTTGGGGGCCTCTTTGTTGCCTCTTGGGGGCCTCTTGGGGCATCTTGGGCTCCTCTTGGGGCCTCCTTCGGATTCAGGTTCGTGTTCCCGCTTTTGGGCTCCTTTTGGGGCAATATTGGAGCCCTCTCGGGCCTTTCTGGGCGCGTTTTGGGCTGCCTTGGGGTCGTCTTGGGCCGTTTTGGGGCCCTCTCGGAGGCTTCTAGGGCCGTCTTGGGGCGGTCTTGGGGGCCTCTAGGGCGGTCCAGGCGCGTCGAGACCGAAAAGGCGGGAAGGCCCAAATCCTACAAACACCTGTGGACACCTCTTGGGGCTTTCTCGGGAGGCCTATTGGAGGCCTCCTATGGGCGTGTTAGAGGCCGAGGCCTCTTGGGCCGTCTGGGGGCCATCTCGAGCGAGTTGGAGTGGTCGTTCGGCGGTTCGGGGCCCTCGTGGAGCGTCTTGTGAGCGACTTGGGCCGAGGGGCTCCGAACCCCTCAAAAGATTCCCTAAGTAGCGAGGGCTGAGGCTCAGAGGGGTAGTGAGAGGACCTGAGGACACGCCCACTCCGTGCCCAGGCGCAGGGCTCATTTCGATTCCTCCGATTCGATTCGATTCGATTTCGGTGATTTCCGATTCCGATTCGATTCGACTTCGGATTACGAGGTGGGCTCCGATTTATCAGTGGAGGCCTACTAAGCTGCCGGTTTCTGCCGATTCGACTTTTCCCGATTTGGCTGCCGATTTCCGCCGATCCGATTGATTTCGATCGCCGATCCGACTTATCGATTCGATTCTGGGCCCTCCTGCCAGCGGCACGGGTGCGAAGTTCGAGTGCTTTCCATCCGCCTGCCCCCTTCGCGCTTCTGCGGCGGGTTCGCCTCGTGTCGATCGGCGGCGGCCCCATTCGCCGGCGAGCGCGGAGCGCGGGCGGCCTCCCAGAGGCCACGCCAATGCAGACGGGGCCTTGGCAGGAGGAGGAGGAGGAGGAGGAGGAGGAGGAGGAGGAGGAGGAGGAGGAGGAGGAGGAGGAGGAGGAGGAGGAGGGGGGGGAGGAGGAGGAGAAGGAGAGGAAGAGGAGGAGGGAGGAGGAGGAGGAGGAGGAGGAGGAGGAGGAGGAGGACACGGGGTGGCAGCCAAGGGGCCTCTTCAAGGGAGAACGGGGCGGCAGGGCATCGACCTCGCACTTGGTGCGTGGTGCACATGTCAGGAGGGAAAGAAACACACAGACACAATTAATCGGCGATTCCCAGAAAATATGGGAAAATACGGGAAGTGGGGGGGAAGACAAAAACACAGAAAATATCTGTACATATGGAGAATATTGCTATTTGTGTGTATTTATTTGTATGTTCTGGGGCCCCTTCAACATGGGGCGACAGAAGCGTCGATACATCCACATAACTCTGTTCGGGGGGGGTACCCGTAGGACCCGCCGTTCGTGCGATGGTTACCAGGTGTTTTCCTTGATTTCAACAACGATATTTAATGTTATAATTCTCGCTCTGGTAATTCATTTCAACAACACCAGAATCGAATTCAAGTTTAAATCCCCACATCCAGCATCAATTTGAACTCAAGTTGCACATTAATTTTGCCTTTATAAGTTTTCCAGAGACGTAGACAATCAAAATGAATGTGTAATGAATTTACACATTGATTTGGGTTGTGGGGATTTCCAGAGGCAGCGACAATCCAAATCAATGTGTAATCAATTTATACAGTGATTTTGATTGTGGGGAATTCCAGACGCAGCGCCGTCGGACCGAGGAAGCTTACCAGGAAAAGAGGATAAGCAAAAAAACAAGAATCACCTTATGTTTTCATCGGGAAATTAGGAACACAACAGAAAACCTGTGACAGTCGCCATTTTTATTAATGAAACAAATCAGAATGCTGACAGTTACAGGTTGTCTTCTGTTGTTATTATTTTTCCGGGTGAGAGCACAGGCGTTTTAATGTGTTTTATGTTTTTTTGTTTTCTTGGTAAGCTTCCGCGGCCCAAGCACTGCATCTGGAATTCCCCACAATCAAAATCAATGTGTAAATGGATTACACTTTGATTTTGATTGTGGGAATTTCCAGAGGCAGCGACAATCAAATTCAATGTGTAATACATTTGCAAATTGATGTAGGTTGTTGGGATTTCCCGAGGCAGCGACAATCAAATTCAATGTGTGATGCATTTACACATTGATTTTGATTGTGGGGAATTCCAAACGCAGCGCCTTCGGACCGAGGAAGCCTACCAGGAAAAAAGGAAGTAACCTGAAAACAAAACAAACCTTGCGTTTTGACAGGGAAAATAAGAAAAACCAGAGAAAACCGTTGACAGTCGCCTTTTTTATTAATGAAACAAATCAGAAGGCTGACAGTTACAGGTTTTCTTTTGTTGTTCTAGTTTTTCCTTTCGAAAGCACGGGCTTTTTCGTGTTGAAAGTTTTTGGCTTTCCTGGTAAGCTTCTGCGGCCCAAGCACTGCCTCTGGAATTCCCCACACTCGGAATCAATGTGTAAATGGATTGCACGTTGATTTTGATTGTGGGGATTTCCAGAGGCAGCGGCACTCAACATCAACTTGTGATCATTTGCAAATTGATTTTGGTTGTTGGGATTTCCAGAAGCAGCGACGTCTATGGCTGGGTCAGAGGTATTCACACGTGTCGACGCTCGGCGGAGCTCGCTTGCGCCTTCTTGAACGGGCTTGCTTTGAATGAAAACTACGAATGCAGCAAACACGTATTGAAACCACGATTTTTCATATTTTCCAAACCACAGCAATTGCAAAAAAACGCATCACTTGCGAGATAAGGGCGTGCATTCTCCAAGCGGGGTTGCGTTCCTTCTTGAATTTGTTCGCTTTGAACGAACAACCAGGAATAAGGCAAACAAGTATTGAACACTTTTTTCCATATTTCCCAAACCACCACAACAACTGTATGATACGCACAACTTGCGAGATAGGTGCGTGCGTTATTTTTAGCAGGGTTGCGTTCCGTCTCGCGGCATTTGTTGGCCTTGAATGAAAAACTACACATCGAGCAAACAAGTATTGAACACATGAATTTTCATATTTCCAAAGACACACAACAAGTGCATGAAACGCATCACGTGCGAGATAAGGGCGTACATCATTCAAGTGGGGTTGCGTTCCTTCTCGTGGTCCCCGCGTGGCCCCTTTCGCCGCTCCTTTCTGGAAAGGAACCCGAAAATGGGATGCCCTTTTTTTTCAGCGAGGCATCTCGCTAGGCTCTGGAAAAAGAGCATCCTTTCTGGGAGGGCATCTTGGAAGGCTCTCAGCGCTGCTCGCGCCTCGTAGAAATTCACGAGGTCCCTGGCCGTGTAATAGCTGGTCTGCGCGACGCGCAGGCGGCGCTGGAGGTCGGCGTTGCGCTTCCTCTTTTTGCGCAGCTCTTCGTCCCTCTGCAAGTTCCCGCAGGTCTTGAGCGACGCTGACTTCAGTTTCACTGCCAGCGTGGCCAGTTTTTGTTTTGCCTGCTCTCGCCCCTTCTCCTCCTCAAAGGGGACGCAAACAGGCGACAGATGGAGGACTCAACACAAAAACACCAATATTAACGTTTTTGTTTGCAAGTGGCATTCGGTCGCCTGATTGCGCCCGCGATCCTCCAAGTAACTCTTCTTCCATAATTTCGCCTCCGACCACGCCTGCTTGGCATCCTCGCGGTTGGCCTTAGCGTCGTCCTTGGCAGTCCTGGCGTTGCGGAAATGCATGTTGGACCGCCTCCTGCGGAAATACCAAAAAAACGTTTACGTATCAGTTCGAACGAACACATCGAAGATTCAATTGCTGAGTTGTGGCACCGACCCACAAGATCTTGAGGTTGTCTGCGTCGGTCTGGTGCTTTTCGGTTGCCTGCTCAAGGCGGTTCTTGAGCTTTACTGCGGCCGCGCGGGCGCCCTCCGCCATCAAGCGCCGCGTTAAAGTCTGAAGCATAAATTGTTCAAGGCGTCGTTTGGCCTTGTAGCCAGCGCTTTTCTTTAGTTTCGCCTGGTTGGCTTTCGTGCTCTTTTCAGGGTTCCCCATTTGGGCTGAAACTTCGTTTGATTTGAGCAAGAAACCTCGGCGCGGGAGGAGGGGGAGGAGGGGAAGAATGTGGAGGGGGGAATACGATGAAAGACAACAGTGGGAAATACAAAATACGATGAACAAGCATGATGAGTAAATTGATGATCAACATCGTTCCAATCGCCAGGATATTCAACAAACTTTTTGCAATCGTGCAAACAGCGGGTCGCACGGGGGGTACCCCGCACTGGTGCGCGGCAAATTAATTGTTTGAAAGCACGAGTGAAAATGCAACCTCAGCTACCGGCCCCTTTGGTAACGCCTCGTTTACAGGGGCTTGGAGAATGGGTCGATGTTGGAGGGTCTAACGTTTAAGGAACGGCCGATCGTTCGAGGTTGAAGGATCCAGCGCGGCGTCAGAAGCCAAGGCGTCGGCCCGACGCGAACTTGCCGTAAGAATCGACGCCATAAACGTACACTTGTGGCGCTCCACGCGGATCTCTTGGATCCGCGCTGGGCCCGCCCCCGGCAACGCCTCGGGCACCGCCACTGGCGCGCTCCGCGCGCCAGGGAGGGGGGTCCAGCGCAGATCCAAGATATCCGCGCGGAGCGCCGAAAGTTTATGATTATGCCGTCTTTCCTCTTCTAGTATGAAGTCGGGCTTGTCCCTGCACGGGAGGAATATTCGAGAATAGTTCAAAAGTTAGTCTGGGGACGGTTTTTCTTCTATTGTTGACCACGTTTGAATGCTTTTCTGCCTCGTCTTCGAAAATCCGCCTTTAGGAGGACCTGCCCGACCCAATTCTAGTGCCTACCTCTTCCGAATTGCGGGTAACAAACGCCCACAGGAAATAGTTGTAAATATGGTGAAACACGGGAAGTGGGTGGAAGACGACCAACCAGAAAATATGTGATCAGATGGGGAGTATTTGGGTTTCTGTGTATTTATTTGTGTATCTCTGGGCCCCTTGAGTCTAGGAGGCCTTCAGTACCTACTTCTTCCGACCGGCGGGTCACAAACGCCAGCAGCATGGCGACCGGCTCCAGCGCTGCGGGCCACGGTGCTGCGCGCGAGGCGCCTGCGGCGCCCGCCTGGGGCGCACCGGGCCGGGCCATTGCCGCATTGGCCGCGGCCAGCGGTCCGCCGCGGCCGCGCTGGGCAGACTACTCCAGCGACGACGAGGGCTCTCGACGAAGAAAGAACTGCACAAACAGACACCGCTACCCTGCCCTCGCGTTCCCCTTTTGGGGGGCCTCCTGAGCGGCCTTCGTTTCGTCGCCAGCCACCGCTGGATTCGCCTCGAAATCCTGGTCCGGGCAGTAGCGCTATTGTCATTTGTTTGTTTCTCCGCAAACAGACACGCTGATCGTTGAAAGGAGGTATTTGTGGACTCCCAGGCAGGAGTCGATCTGTTTCTGTTGTTGTTTGTGGGAAATTATTTGGGCGGGCCCTGAACCCAGTCTATTTCATCCGCCTTCCTACTTCATGTTTCCACCTGCTCCTTGCGACTGGCGGGCAAGCATAACCCGTTGGAGGTCCGCGCGGATTCCCTGGATCGCTGCGGGACCACCCTGGCGGCGCCTCCGGTGCCGAGGGAAGAGATCCACGCGGTCCTCCGAGCGTGCATCTCTCCGCTGTTTGTTCCTCTGTGTGGACCGTTTTTTTCCCCAGAGAGCTGTGTTGGCTGGGGTGCGATTGTGGTAGAGACCCGCGCACAGAGACGTCCACGAACAAGTGAAGTGGTTTGGGCCATCTCGCCCGAGGCATCCTGAGCTCTCGCATCCGAGTTGGCCAGGGTTGGGCCAGGATTTGGAGTTTCGCCCGAGGCATCTTCAAAGCTCTGGGCTCCGAGATGCCGCGCGCGCGCGGTGGTCCAGCGCGTTTCGCTCGAGACATCCTCAACCCTGGGCTCCGAGGGTCTGCGCGAGTGGTGGTCTGGCGCGTTTCGCTTGAGACATCCTCGCACCTCTGGTTTCCAAGACCCCGCGCGCAAAGTGGTTTCTCCAAAGCGCCACGGGCAAGGTGGTCTGGCACGTCCCGCCTGAGACATCCTCGCAACATGCTGCGCGCGAGGTGGTCTGGCCCGTTGCGCCTGAGACATTCTCGCAACTCTGGGCTTCGAGATGCCGTGTGAGGTTGCCTGGCCAGTTTCGCTAGCGTATTCTCGCAACGCTGGTATCCGAGAAGATATGCGCGAGGTGGTCCAGGTCGTTTCGCCTGAGACATCCTCGCAACTATGGCTCTGCGATTCTGTGCGAAATGTGGTCTGGTCCGTTTCGCTTGAAACATCCTCGCAATTCGGGGCCCCGATCTGCTTCGCGCAAGGTAGACTGGAGCGTTTCGCGTGAGACATCCTCGAAGCTCTTGGTCTCTGAGAGGGAGAAGTGAGGAGCAAGGAACGAGGAGGGGTCAGGCCCGACCGAACTATTTGATTATACTTCTGTTGTCGAATTGTGCTCTTAGAGGTGTCTGAGCGGCGCCTGAGACATCCTTGCAACTCTGAGCTCCCAGATGTCGTGCGCGAGGCGGTCCAGCCCGTTTTGCCTGAGACATATTCGCACTTTGGGGCTCCGACATGCTGCGCGAGGTGGTCCAGCCTGTTTCGCCTGAGACTTCCTCGAAGCCCCAGACTCCAAGAAGGTGTGCGCGAGGTGGTCCAGCTTGTTTCGTTTGAGGCATCCTCGCAACTCTGGGCCCTGCGGAACTGAGCGCCAGGTGGTCTGGCCCGTTTCGCTTCGGCTCTCTGGCATGCTTCGCGCGAGGTGGTCGGGCTTGCCTCGCAGGGTGGTCGGGCTCTGCCAGGGAGGAGGGACGAGGAAGGAGGGGCCGGGCCCGAAGGAACCATGTGAGTCCATCTCTGCTGTCAAGTGGCGCTCTTGGGGGAGGTACCAGGCGACGAGGCGCGCGAACGTTCCCTTGGTAATTTGCAAGGGTTTCTCTGGGGAGGGGACCAGCTTGAGCAGATCGTGGAGACGCCTCGAGCGAGAGAGTGGTGAACAGAGAGGGCGCAGCACGGGGAAGGAGAAAATGAGGACGACACGGAAGAATGGAGGAGGGAGACGGGACCAGGTGTTCGAGGGCATCCCTGGCGAGGGTGTCTCTTGGAAGGGGCATCGCGAGTGCGAAGGCATCCCTTGCAGTGTGGAGGACGCGAGGATGAGGAGGATGAGGCAGCGAATGGGGAAGACGAGCAGGAGGGGGAGGAGGAGGAGGAGGAGGAGGAGGAGGAGGAGGAAGAAGAAGAGGGACATGAGATGGTCTCCCGGCGCACGCGTGCGCCGGGCCTGTGGCCCATGCAAGAGGTTTCAACGGACGCTGGCTCCTTGCGCGCCAAAGAGGAAACGACTGCATGTTCTGCGTGTGTCTTCGCAGCATGGGCACAGTCATGACGAGTGTCAGGACGGTCTGGCGTGGCCGCGTGATGGATACACATGCGGCGCTGCTTCTCAGCATGTGCATCCACTCGCGCATCGTCGCAGGAGCATCGTCATAATGAATGGTGCCATGACGCACTAATGTGGCACACCAGTGTCATGATACGCCGGTGTGCCAACGGAGATACACCGTGGGGTTCTAGCACGACTGGTCCGTTGAAGACTGGCCCTCTCCAGGTGCATCCCGTCGTGTATCATCGCAGGGCCATCCCCCTGAGGATGAGAGCACTGATTCGTTGGCGTGGCGCACCGATGTTATGAAGCGCTTGTGCACCAAGGATAAGCACCATGGGGTCCCACTTCGCAGCTGATCCAAGAGACTGCGTGTGACCGCTTCGCCCCCTCACGGGCGCTCTTGACGCCCTCGAGGGCGATTTCGTGGTCATCCCTTTTTTGGTGCCACAATGACGAAACATGACATGTCGTGGGTCGAACCGCACTTCGCCTCAGCTAAGAGATACTTGGAGGGGCACGGCGAGCAGCAGGAACCGGAACAGGAGGAACAACAACAGCATGAGGAGGGTGATGAGGAAGTAGATGAGGAGAAAGAGAAGGGGGATGAAGAGAAGGAGAAGGAGTGGAAAACGACAATCAGGAATATCATCAAGAGGATGCGGAGGATTCGTGTGAGGACGGACTCGAGCAAGAGTGCAATAAGTAGGTACAGGGGGGAAGGAGGAGGAGGAGGATGAAAATCCAGCAACGATATTGCAAGAACGCCTCCCTGCAAACTCCTCTCACATAGGCCCTAACAAGTACTCTGTCTCATTGAAGGCAGTGCCCCTCTAGAGTTAAAAAATCCTGAAATGTGCCAGAAGTCACCGTCACTTCTGCGCCTTGACGATCCTGGATCGCATCCGATCACCATACCCGTGAATTCAATAACACGAATCAAAGTAAGTGTTGCGCCCTACTAGTTAGACATCGCGCCAATACATAACCGCTCCTGCGTATGAGAAGCCTTGAAACTGTGGTGAACGCTGCAATCGAGTGTGCGCGGCGCTTATGCGACACCCGCATTTCGAAGAAGAGCCGACCTGCACCCGGGAAACTCTTGACACTGTGTGCGATGTCTGAGCGTGGCGATCAGGCGAGAGTCACATGCTCCAAACGACCCGCCGCCCATCCGTGAAAGTCTTGCAATTTGTTAAGACGGACGTGCGCGGCGCTACGGCGATAACCACAGTTTAATCAGCATGTGCCCTCATACCGAAGAGTTTACGTGTTTTGAGCACAGGTATAGGCGGCGCTCAGGCGGGACCAACAGTTTCGAAAACCATGTGCCCTCAATGTGTTGATCTCTTGCAGTTTTGGTTTGTATCGGATGCGCGCAGAGCCGAGGCGAGATCCACATTGTGGGAGCGACCCGCCGCCCAACCGTGAAACTGTTGCAAACTTGTAAGCTTCAGGCTCAGAAGTAGTGAGGGGGTCTCAGGCAAAACGCCCGGCCAGCCCTTCAACTGGCTTCGGGGTGCGACAGGAAGGAGTTAAGTGTGAGGAAAAAGATGGGGGACGAAGAGGAGGAGGAGGAGGAGGAGGAGGAGGAGGAGGAAGGGGAGGATCAGGAGGATCAAGATGAGGAGGAGGACGAGGAGGAGGAGGAGAGGGAGGAAGAGAAAAG